GCTTTAGTGTATGATCACAGTGGGGTTCAAGTTTGGGGTGATACTTGAAATATTCCCTACAGTTTTTGGTGACTCCATTGGGGAGGATTTCTATTTTAATTCCTGAAATTTATTTCGGCAATGATTTAGAATGAGTGGATGAGAATCGAAAAGTTCTAAGTATTTCATGTGCGTAATTTTGATTAACATTATTGTCATATGCATAAAAAAGATCTCATTGGAAAGACCATCCGTAATGAGTTTAAAACATAGGATTTTTACACATAGGAAATATGAGGAATATCTTTCATAACTAAGATCGAAATAATGCTGCGCGAAACTGAAATATTTTATCGAGCACAGAAAGCTGCTGAGGCATGTAGGAACTGGCGTCAGAAAATAAAGTATTTCACCGAGGATTTGACTCGAGGCGACAAAACCAAATTGCAGTGACAGCCTCTGTTCGCTGGCGCCAAGTTCATCCAATACCGAGCCAGAAATATGCGTTCTAATTTTGACCAGTTTTTTAGCATTGTTTGCTCAATCCTTCTTCCTTATTGAGTTTTTCTCACTTTTCTGAAACACATATGTGTTCTACATATGGACATAACCCTCTGGGAATTCATGCTCCATCTACCTGATTGAACGCTCGGTGCAACAAAGGGTACATCCGAGAATGCTGAATTCACCAAACTATGGAAGCGAGTTTTTAACTCGCGGTGTCCCATCCACTCGCGCCAACCCTTCAAAAGGTAAGCCTTCCGTGCGGTGCATCCGGACAATTAACCATGAACCCTCTTTGACTAACCCATATCCCGAACTTTAGAGAACTTAAGCCATGGTTAGGTTGCAAACTCATTGCATCATATTGTGCCTACTTGACTAATTGTGCATTACTTGTTATGTGTTTTTCCTAACCGTTTGTTGACTTGTGTTTAAGACTAAATAAACTGATTAATGACTAAAAGGACTTTGACTAATTAATTAATTAATTAATTTTAGTAATTAAAGTCTAATAATTTAATCGGAATTGACTTAGTACGACTTAGGCATGTCCCGTAGAGTAATAATACCGAAAGCATTCCCAGATTAACGCTCCAGCAATGACACCACGATTTGGACTGCAGCGCTACACTTTGTTGTGCAACGCCTGGCGATAGCTCTGTTGTCTGGCACGGCACTGTAAAGTGCGGCGACAGTCCTGTTGCTTTGGCTACAGTTCCGTATTTTGTTCGAGTCATCACTATGAGTCTAATTATTAAACAGTTTTCTAATCAATTTGATTATTTTGTTAATAACAGTACCCTTGTTTAGTCCTTAATTAAGTCTAGTCACATGGTCGTACACAAGAGTGAAAGCATGTCACCTACACTCACTAGTCTTAGCACACACTTTGTGTATATGTCACCATGACCATATCTTAGGTTCATGCATGAGTCGGTTTTTTCCGTCATTTGAGTTGGGGGTACATTTTATACCTAATTTTTTCCATATCTCTCCATCTACATCATCTTTCCATTTTCTACATGATTCTTCCATATCACAACCTTCATTCTTCCTACCTTCTTCCATCCTTGCATGTTGAATAGAGTTTGAATTAAATAATTAATAGTCGATATCCCTAATTTTCCTTTCCACAGTACTTGGTCAAGGAGAGAAGGGGGATTAATCAAGGACAAAACATTTATTCAAGTTCAAATTTTTGATAAACCAGTGAGTAGGAAACGGAAAGCTAAAAAAGATAATGGCAACTCAGAAAGAAGTCAACGAACTTAGGAGTCAATTGACTGACATAACTGAAGTGTTGAAGGCTCTAACCCTTAAAATTAATGACCCTGTGAAGCAACAACAAATGGACCTCATGCAAGAAAGCTTGAGCAAGCTATCTAGTGACTACAAGTTTCTAGGCATTAGTTCACAAGGGGTCTCGGTGGACAAGGAGCTTCTTCCGCAGAAGTTCAATGCCACTAACATCCCTAAGTTCAAGGCAACCGATAATCCTTACCTTCATTTGAGAGCCTTTGAAACTATAATGAACATTAAGGGGATTGATAGGAAAGTTTTTCATTCCTTGTTTTCTTTGTCTCTTGAAATTGTTTGCCAACAATGGTTCTTCTCCCTTGATAAAGAGAAAACCTCTACTTGGGATGCTATTGTAAACGCTTTCATTGATATATATAAATGCAATATTCAAGTCGAAACCGATTATAGACAACTTGAGATGCTAAGAAAAAAAGAGAATGAGGGCTTTACTTCTTTCTTCAATAAGTGGAGAGAAACTTCCGCTAAAATGATTAAGGTACCTTTCGAAAAAGAATCTGTGAGGATGTTCATCAAAAATTTACAAGAAAAGTATTCAAAGAACTTAAAATATCAACACAACTTGAATACTTTCAAAGCCGTCTATGACATAGGCATCGAGAACGAAGATGACCTCGCAAAGCAAAAAGCTACTAACAATAGTAATCACAGTGGCTGGAAAGGAAAGAAGAACGACAATCCTCCTTCTTCCGAAAACGCCCACTATAGTAACAATGTTAGTACCTTTGATCTCAGTGAAGTTTTAGCCATGGATAACCAAGGATCTAAGAGGCAACTAAAGAAAGACTTCACCCCCATTGGGATGAGCTACGATACTGCCTTCGATCGACTCCATGCTAAGGGACTCATTACTCCCATTGGACCTATTCAAGATCCCGCACCTGAAAAGAGATTGCCTAGTTGGAATCTAGATGCACATTGCAAATATCATCAAGGTAGGGGTCATACTATTGAGAGCTGTTGGAAGCTAAAGGAGGCTATCCAACATTTGATCGATAATGACAAGCTTCCCATGCCTCCAACTAGCAAGAAGAGCGAGTGATGATAAAGCAAACGAAACAAGGCAAGAGGCGAGCTTTAGTGTATGATCACAGTGGGGTTCAAGTTTGGGGTAATGCTTGAAATATTCCCTACAGTTGGGTTAGGTTTTAAAAAAAATAAAGAAATTTTAACAATTCGTTGAGTGATACGTGTCCAGGGTGAGCTCCACTAACGGATTTTTGTTGTGGTGTTATTTTCTTTTTTTTTTCTTATTTTATTTGAGTTAAATTTTATGTTGCTAAATTGTGATTTTGCCTTAACGTTTGAACACATGGTGGTAGTACGTCAATATTTCTCTTACATTTTATGAAGGTTATTTACGGGTTAAAAGATAGAATTATTAAGGTGCTACATAGGTATAAAAATGGCAATGGATTCGGTTATTATAAATCTTGTCTTCCTTAATAGTTTGTTTTGCAGCAAATTTTTATCACGAAGTTTAATTAGCACATCAACTACAGTTCTTGATAGACCTGACAAATGGGTCATTCGGGTCGGGTATGAGTCGGGTCATTTCGGGTTGGGTCAAGTTCGGGTCAAAAGGTTATCGGGTCAAGTTCGGGTCATTTCGGGTTTCGGGTTGATTTCGGGTCGGGTCGGGTATCGGGTCAACACTTCGGGTCGGGTCAGATCGGGTTTCGGGTCAATTTTTGGGTTAACTTCGGGTCGGGTCGGGTCGGGTCAACTTCGAGTCGAGTCATATTCGGGTGATTCATTGGGTTAAAATCAATTCTGTATATATATATATTTATTTATTTATTGACGAAAAACTCACTATATTTATTAAGGCTATTTTTTTCGTGGAACATAGTAATTGTTTGACTTATATTAACCTTTTTTTTTTTTTTGTGTTTAGATTGAGAATCACTTTCAGGATCTCCTGAAACTAAGAGGGATGCTCTAACTAATTGAGTTATACCTCACTCTCTTATTGATCTTAGTTTTAATACGTACTCTTATTATCATTGTCATTGTTGTAATAATTTCTTTGAATTATTCTTATACTCTCTCCGTCCCAAATTACTCTTAACGATTTGACATTTTGCACTATTTACACATCTCACTTTGACCGTCTTTTTAGCTATTATATGAAAGTCAATGTAGTCATGTAAGATGTTGTTGGAACTATTTTAATGTATAATTTCCTAATATAAACTTTTTATAACTTATACAATTATTTACTAAAAGAAGTTAAAGGTTGGGTCATTTTCGGGTCGGGTCAACTTTGGGTCGGGTCGTTTCGGGTCTCGGGTCTCGGGTCATCTCGGGTCGGGTCGTTTCGGGTTGGGTCATTTCGGGTTTTGGGTCAAGGTCGGGTCAGTTCCACTTCGGGTCGGGTATGGGTCGGGTCGGGTTAATTCGGGTCGGTTTTGGGTCATGGGTCGGGTCATTCGGGTCGGGTCATCAGGTCTGGGTCAAGATTGTCGGTTCTAGTTCTTGACAAATTATTTACACATACAAGGAGATGTGTATCAACAAAATTCTTTATTGCTTAAATTTTAACATTTTTATAGAATGACAAATTTATTGCATATATTGGACTCCTATTCTTATAAACCACCATACTTGAGGTAATAGAAACTATTGTTTTAATAGGACGTTTATCCTATTGTGATTACTTAAATTTATTGAAACAATTAATTTTTTGTGGTTGTCGTAAACCCATAATTTAGCTTACAATATATTTTTATGCTATTGACCACATTGTGTGACAATCCTGATTAGGCAACTCATGACCGACCGAATAATCATTGATCAAGCAACTCCTGACTAACTAAATAACCTCTGACCAACTGAGTAACTTCTAACCGACTAATCTATGACCAACCGAAGAACCCCTTACCGATCGAGTAACCCTTAACCAAGTAAACCCTGACTGACTGAGTAAACCCTGACTGATTGAGTAACCTATAACCGAGTGAATAATGTCTGACTGAGTAAGTAACCCCTAACCAAGTTTTCCAACCACATATGAAACTTTGTATTCAGCATAATGTAGACATTGTAGCTATATATGTAGATTCTCATGATCATAAAAGATTTCGAGAAGCATGACGATCTTATCTAATTTATGCTTCGATACACAAGTGATTGTTCGATCATATGATTCGTATCATTCACGTAATTACCGTTTAAAATCGTAGTTAAAGTAATGAAGATTGAGAAATATTAGGATACTATTATCCACAAAAACAAGCATTATCCACTCTCTAAACACTAAACCATACACACATTGACCCAAGTTTAGGGAACATCCTCTACAAAGATATCTTATGCTCATAACACCCCAATAAAACTACCAATTGGAAACTGAAATAACACATTTCGAGGGTAAAAAAGTTTATCATCCTAGGGAAGGTAAAAGACACAGTAAAAAAAAACTTTCACTCTAAACCTTTACCAGACGTTGATATTGTCAGGTCAGACCAACCAAAGCAATCGGAACCGTCCATTCCATCTCCATTAACAAACTGCCACGTGTTGGTACCGTCATTCTGACCCATAACATGATTCTCATCCCTCATACTCATGGATCCTCCAAACCCGAAACCGATATCAGCAAATCCAGATGACCCAATATCAAACCCGAGCCCGAGCCCGTACCCGGGCAATCCCGTAAACATTCCACCATTTACATGATTAGCATTATTATTAGTAGTGGTAGCAGTGGTAGTGAGTAAAGAAGTGAAACTCGTTTCATCATTCAAGTCCAATTCCAAGTCATCATTGTTCCGTAGCTGCGAAATCATTTCCGCCGTTTTGATACCCGCGGGCGCGGAAGAGAGTGGAAATGAGGAGGAAGACGAGGAGGAGGAGCGAGAACGCTTGGACTTCTTACGAGTGCCGCCGCCAACAGGGACATTGCGGAGAGTACCACCGCGAGTCCAAAAGCGGCGGCAAGACTTGCAAAAGTAGCGAGGTTGAGATAAGTTGTAGTTATTGTAGTAACAGAATTTTGTGTTGGTTGAGTCGCAACGTGGGCACGGTAGATTTTCTGGCTCGTGCCGTGGTTCGACACCGCAGCCTTCCACCTCGGCGTTCATTGTTTGTAGATCGATGTGATTTTGGGAGAAGAGAGGGTGAGAGAAGAGGGGTGTGTGAGGGAATGAGTGAGTTGCTTAGGGAGGAGGGTTTTGTTATGGGGTTTGGGGGACAAAGTGTGAAGAAGGGAATGATACGATTTTTGGAATGTTAGTGTGAATTGGAGTGGATGTTTTGTTTATTATTGTATTCTATTGGATTAACAGCATCCAATCAAAATTGCACTTTTTAAATAATGTTGGTTTGTTAGTGTGTTCGATTGGTAGTGTTGCGGTTAAATATCATCATGATTCATGCATCCTAGATTCCTATCTCCTAGTATGGTTTTATTATAACTATGTAATAATCTTGTTTTAGGTGATGGAAATTCAAACATGCATTTGTTGCTCTCCTCAAGAATAAATAAATAAATAAATAAATAAATAAAATAAAATGATTATTGATAACATGAATATTATAATTTCCTAGTTCTTAATTAGCCTGGTGATAATGTTTAAAAATATTCTTAATTTTGCTATACTTTTTTTTTAACCAAAGTTATTTTGGATAGAAAATTTAAGTTGTATTACATTCGTCTCGAATTAACCATGATAAGGTTAATCTACTACCTACAAAATATAATATACAAATTCCACAATTCATCAAGTCACCATGTATAAGTGTTTTTTTGTTTTTTTTTTTTAATTTTTTTCTTTAAGTACAACACACTTCATACCAAGTCAACAAATGGTTTTAAAAATACCTTACAGTCTTTGTTGAGTTTAAGGTAATGGAGCACATGAGTAATGATATTGCTCTCCACCTCATATCCTTGTGGTTTAGGGATCAAATTCCATAAATCCATTCGAGGAATAATTGGATTAATAACTGGAATACTAGAGAGCGTAGAAAACAATCGTGAAGACATAATGTGAAAAAACCTTGCTTATGTAAAAGCAAAAATAAATCAAAAGCATCCTCAAAATTTACATATTACACAAATTATCAAGAAGCAAAACAGCGTGGTCTGCGCCCTTGTGGCGCACATACAAATATAGCAGTTGGTAAGTCCTACTATTAGTTTGGCTTAAAGAACTTTAACTTGAGTCCACTAGTAACAATGCTTCAAATTCCTCCAATTGAAAATGCAAGGCTGAAAGCAATTCCAATCCATCCTAGGATCCAGTTCAAATACCAACTGCAACTGTGTTTCGGTGGCTGCTTAAGGAGCACCCACATGAAGCAAGGGTAAGCAAATGTGACAGGGAGAGTGAGCCCTCCCAACAAGCCAGCAAGACTTGATAGGAAGGGGAATGCCACGCCTATAAGGAGATTGACAAATCCGTAGAAAACTCTGAAACTGGACCTAACCCATACTGAGCATGGGCGATTAGTCCTGCTTGTATAGCTGGCTTCGAAGCTGTCAAAAACAGGCATGGAGTATATCTGGAAGCTGCTCAAGCAACTGAATACGACCAAAAGGAAAGTCATTGCTAGTAGTCCTCGAGCAATGTCATGACTATGGAATGCATATATAGCAGTGAGCATCCCCCCTGAAGGCATCTGTAAGAGGGAAATGCATTTAATTCATATTTTTGACAGAACATCATGAATGAAAGCGATAAGATCATATAATCAATTAATCAGTAGATCATCAGGATAAATTTTCAATCATAATATTATGTGAATCTGTCTAGATCTGACATAATTTTCAACTCCAGCTTTTGTTATTAAGTGGTCAAAAGACATGATATAATGTATGAATATCAGATCTATGAGAAAGTAAGTAGGCATTCTCATGAGATGAAGTATTCACATGAATATCAAATAGAAACAGGAAGCATAGTTTTACCAAATAGCAGGGAAGGTCCTGAGTTATGGGTACAATCATGTAAGAGCAAGGTCCTGCATTATGGGTACAATCATGCAAGTATCTTTGATCAGAAAGGCAGTGATGTCTTTCGATGCCGACTTAATTTCTCAGTAGCAAAGTGCAGGCCATAGCATGCTGACACAGATTGTGGAAGATGAATTTTAAAACATTTGAGCAGCTAGTTCTAATCTAGAGTGCAGTTAATGCAAACAATATTCTAATTCTGCTTAAAAGACAATCTAGTTTATATGTAAATTATGGTAGCGTTCAAGAACTTCCACAGATTATCTTAACCAAATCCACCCTATAAATTGATATTGAGTATTGACTCTCTCAAGTCCTAATATAACAAAGGAAAGTGCAACTTCTAATATAAGATTCCATTTGTTGCGTGATCTTATTCAAATTATTAGAGAGCATGATTTTTATTCACCATGAATCCCTGATCATAGTTATGTTTTCCTTTAGGTGATCTGAATAATAATTATATACATATAGATACACAAAGTTATTAGATATGTAGAAGCCAGACTTACAAGGTTCCCGTACGCCCAATATCCTCCAATTGCTATGGGAAAGAGGCACATGGCAATGAAAAAATACGCAACTTTAGCTCCCTTCCACATTGGTACATGAGCTGGATGCTTAAACGTTGATGGCATTGTAGCCTGAAACAGCCATGTCATGAGCTTAAATGTACAAAATCATCAAAATCAAGTTCACAAAGTTAATGATACATTCTAACTACTGCACAAGATTTTCTTTGCAACTTTTGATTTCACATGCTTTAAGTGATCATGCTATAGTCTGCTGCTGTCAATTTAAAAATCTTTTTTCCAAGTACAAGAGCTACGAAATTGGATACATTAGAGACAGAAAACAATATTATGACATCACTGTTTTAAAGCTGAAGAATTCCATACCTGGATCTCCAAGACTAAATTGTGGCCCCTGAATGCAAAGGCTATTATTCCAAGAGCATTGAGAACTGAAAACAAGGAAGCTGTTGCTGATGGAAATGAGACTGGCTCATACGAGATTTGTGGTGGCCTACGTTGACTTACGGAAAGCACCCAAACCATGGTAGAATAGGTGATAGCAGTGACTGCCCCAACAAGTGAGAGTCCAGCTATTGAATTAAGATTTGGAAGCTGAGATAGAACGATGCACAATGAAGTGAAAACCAGGTACCATTCAACTGTAGTCAGAGGGTTTGATGAGCAAAGTGGTCCACAAACTATTTCGAAAAAAAGTTTCATTGTCTCCCCTCCGACCAGTATCAGAGCAGTTGCAGTTCCAGCAGACAAATATACAGTTGGAAAGAGTGCAAGCCATACACCAAGCTTTTTCCCTACATAACAAAGAATGATTTGAGGTAATTAGCTGAGAAGCTATTGAAGTCTGACAGTCATCAATGTGAAATGAAGAATGCTAGAAATTATACTGATTAGGACCAGAATTCGTTTTCCATTTTCAATAAGAGGTGACTGCACAAAATGTACGAAAGCATACCAAATGCAGCTTCTGCCAGTTCAACGTATCTGTTATATCTTTTCCCAGGCACGGCTTCATGTAGCTGAACGAGAATCCACAGCGTGTAGAGTTGCCAAAAGTAGGCTATGGTCAATGCAAATATACCCCAACCCCTGCAATACATTGATTTGAAGCATTGAGACAGATATCTTTCTTACTTTCAACTATAAGAAACTATATTTTGGTCACATCAAATTGTGAGGCAATGTAATACTTTTGTTACAATGTAATTAGCTTAAATGGACAAAAAGGTGCATGTAAGCAATAAAATTCAGAGATCATTTTAGATAAAATTTACGTATTTAAGATGTTCATGTAATTGCAATAACATCAACAGTTTGTACTATAAGGTTTCTGCTGGCATTTACAAGTAGGCAACCATATCATCCAAACCGGCTATTTCTGGGATAAATCTGAGTCCATGCTTCGTAAGGTGGTATTGAGATACAGACAACATACATATAATGTTACGTTTTCACTACCAATTTCAAATAAAAACCTTCATTTGTAAAGTCAAGGCATAGAATAACTGAATAAGGTTATGTTTTCGGTTGTCCACAGCTTACTTGTGTTTTTTTTAGCAAAGGAAAAGAGAGCCTAAATCATTATTCTGTACAAATCATTGCATACAGTTTCAAATGAACTACACTATTAACAGTCATTGCAATTGCACTATTCAAGGTGTTCGAAGCTAATGATATCTTAAGAATCCATGCCAAATATGCAGTACTATTTTAAGGATTACTAAGGAAAAGTGAAAAAGTAAAAAGGTTTACAATTTGTACCAAAGTCAGACAAATTTGCAAAGGTGTTAAAAGCACATCATTGTTATCACTAAATAGAACAATATCATAATTTGGCATAAACAAAAACAAAAACAGAAAAAAAAATAAAATAAAGTTTATATTTTGACCAGAAATTGAGAATGTGAACCTAAATGGTCCCCTCATTCAAATAGCAACATTGAAACAAAATCATTACTGGTCCCGGTAATTGGCAACAGCAAGTCAAAAATCATGGGAGGTATGCAGAAAGCAAAAGCTGGGTGTGATATAACTTAATCATTTTGTTAATCCAATCATCATCTTTCTTCTTATTCTTCTTTTTCCTACCATTAAAAGAAATATATAGATTAATTTCATCCAAAAAGTATAAAGAACATCCCCACTTCTTGTTCACTTTAATTAGATTAAGCATGCTTAACTACACTCCATGATTAGAGCTTATTAGCAACAAAAACCGGAAACTTAAATTTGATGAAGGAATTTAAATGAGTATTTACAGTATATTTTAATACCCCCATTAATTTTTTGGTGCAACAAAGGTGTATTACTTGTGAGATAATAAATATTCCTGTTATAGATTAAAATTAATGGGGCAGTAAAAATGATAATTTTCTCTAAACATCCTATTATATTATTCCGAAATCCAAAGTAACGGAACTAATTCTAAAGGAAGAGAGTACATGTTTGTACAACCAAATAATCACATGATTGATATTTGACCAACAAATAGTTAGACTCTTACTTTGCTAGAGAGGTAAGAATCAATACATGTGGTCCTTCAGAGTCTCAGATATACAAGTACCCTTTATGTTACCATTTGTACAAGTGTGCCACTGTAAAAATTCTTGCAATAAATTGGAATCTACAATTATTTCAGGGAAATTAACTTTCAAAAATCAGATATTACCAGTAATTTATTTCATGCACCAAATTCAGGCAAATCAATATTCTACATTACTAGTTCAAATTACAGTGTCCCTGCACTACAATTGTCTGTCCCTCGAATACAATTGTCTGAGGGAGTAAATGACAAACAATTAACCACCCAAATTAATAATAAAACACCCACAAAATTCCAAATTCAAAAGTAAGAATTAAAATTAAAAAAAAAA